GGGGGTGAAGGGCACCACTATGGAACGGGGGGTGAAGAATACTATGGGAAAGGAAAGGGGGGTGAAGAACACTAGGAGGCAGAGAGGAACTATAAGGGAGGACACTAAGGTACAGGGGAAGGGAAAAGTAACACTTGGCTGGGGGGGCATTAAAAGAGAAGGGAGAGGAACAGGGAAATTGGGGGGGCCACTAAGACAGGTAAGGGGTAGGGAGTGCCTCCCGCACATATTTACACACAAACACACTGCATCTACTATACATACACACACACACAGAAACATAGCATGTGACGGCAGATACGAATCTAGTCTGCCCAATTTTCTAAATATTTTCATTAGTCCCTGGCCTTATCTTATAGTTAGGATAGCCTTATGCCTATACCACGCATGCTTAAAGGATCACTATAGTGTCAGGAAGACAAACTTTTTTTTTCTGACACTATATAACCCTTAGGTCCCCCCCACTTAGACTTGCCAGGCAAAGCAGAGCTCACACAACAGTCTTGAAGTCAAGTGTATTTTATTAATTTTTGCACATATAATGCATACAATAAAGAGGAGTTTCAGCCTAAAACATGCTATTAAAAAGGCAAACGTATATTTTATGCAACAAGGAAAAATATTTGTCCACAGAATACCATTTGAAATCTTCAAGTGTTTTGTCAAGCCCTGCAATAACATGCTAATATATTTACATATTTTTGCAATATATGTTTTAGTACAGTTAAAAAGGTACACTGAACAATTGTAGGACTTGAATGACTCATGCTATCAAATTATAAATCCAACAATACCTAAATATCTGGGCTCTGTCATGATTGTATGTAAATCATGACCATTTGACTACTTAAAGAGACACTATAGGCCACTCTTATTGAAGTGGTCTGGGTGCACTGTCTATCCCACTTAGTCCTACAATGTAAACATTGCAGTTTTAGAGAAACTAGAAGTGTTCCTGTAGTTTCATGGAGTTTAACTCCAGGCTAAAGATACTCATGCTTTGCATGACACCCAAGTGTCTTGAAAAACCCCAAAGGAATGCGTTGAGTCAATGCTTTCCTATGGGGAGGCCTAATGCACGAGTGGCACTTCCATGCCAAGTGCATTAGATTCCCGGATTGCACTGATGTCAGAGAAGGAGCCTAATCAGATGCAGAGGTACTTCGGGGCTGGAATCAGGTAAGCAGTGAATAAAGGGTTTGAAAGCTTTTCACAGTCAGCATGGTGGAGCAGTGGTACTATAGTGTTCTACAGTGTCATACAGTATTGTATTCCTTACACTAGTGTTACCTTAAAGAAACACAAAAACACCACTTTGTCTCAAGTGGTTTTGGTGAATAGACCCTTTGCATTTATTTTGAGAAAATGTAAAAAATTACTGTTTGAGAAATGACAATGTTTACATCTGTTTGAAATCACACGGAGACTAACAGCAACTTCCTCCTTAAGATCTAAAAAGTTTTTACATTTGTATCCTATACTTTTCAGAACGATGCACTTGGTTCAGTGCTGGTCTAAAAGAAGCAAATGGGAGTGGAGAGTAGGGGGCAGCAATCTAAAAATTATAGGAACACCAATGTATAAAAACACACACACACACACACATATACACACACATATACATACATACATATACACACACACACATATATATATATATATATATACACACACACATATATATATATATACACACACACACACACACACACATATATATATACACACACACACACACACACACATATATATACATACACACACATACATATACACACACACACACACACACACACACACACACAACACTAATCAGCCACAGAAATATTCAGGAATGGTTTGAGGAACATTAAAAAAAGTTCAAGGTGTTGCCTTGGCCTTCAAATTCCACATATCTCAAATCAGATTGTGCATCTGTGGATTTGCTGGAACAACAAATCCGATCCACCTCGCAACTTGCAGGACAAAATATCTTCTGCTAATGTAGTGGTGCCAGATACCTCAGGACACGTTCAGAGATCTTATAGCAATAACATAAAACTCCAGAGGAGAAGTTAACAATAAAGTGCTTACTAATTTGTACAAAGTGAATAGCAGCTCTAACACTTTCTTGTGGGAATGCCTTCTCACGCACAATACAATTAGAAACAAAAATGTGATACATGTGAACACACAGCAGAGCACAAAAAAATAAATTAAAAAAAATTAAAATGTGTATACATAGTATGCTTACCCTGGAAAATGGGATATAGCATGAATATACACCATATACATAAAAAATAGAAAAATAAGGAAAACAAATATAGTGTAAATGGTTATTGTAGGAGTTCTTAATGGTAAGAAATAAACAGATCCACTCTCATGATTCTGAGCCTCAAAATATTGGTTCAAAAAACAGCGCCTCTATGCTCTTAAGGCATCACACCTTCACAGGGATAGGATTCCAAGCTTGAATTATAGACAAAAGAAAGAACTCCAAAAGTGTGGCATGTATATCCCACTTACAATTAGTTATTGAGAGATTAATTAAGCTCACCTTATATAGAGCCTAAGACTTCTTGCTCTAGATTATAAAAGCTTGGTGCCACTTCATGCAGTGGCAGAAACCAAAAGTATGATCCCTGGAGTCGAAGATCAGGCAAGACAATGAATGTAGCTGAGTAAAATGTATTTCTCCTACAAAACAAAGCAGCTAATAAACCGATATAAAAGCAATATTGCACTCAACAGGTAAGTCATCTGGTAGAGTCCATGACGCAACATTTTTGCAGCACTGTCTTTCAGTCCTCTCAGACTTCCCCCCCCAAGATAAATATATATTTATACTAAAAAGTGTTCCTTTAGGTTTTTAGATGTTAACATGCAATAAAACACAAAATACACAAACAAAAGCAACAACTACATCACAAACTACCACAGAGCAACAGACTGTTTTCCTGAAGTCAATCTGATACTTTCAAAGAGTAGTTCAATCAACCTTACTTTAGGTTATAGTCAAAGAGACATGCATCACTTGACAATTGTAGCAAACAAACACTATTACAACAAATCCATAAACTAAAATAAAGTAGAAAACTTTGAAAAGTAGGTAATAAACGTTTATAAACTTTATTAGATTGTATTGTTGGGCACGTCTCTCAGCTAGGGGACCCACAGTCTGAGTAAAACTCCCCTCCCATGCCACTGTACCGGATATGTCCGTTTCAAGGGTCTTTGATAAACATGCACAGACCCAACATTGACGTGTCTGCTTTAATTGTTTACCCCAAGATGACATTTGGTGACAGATAAAGACAAACTTTCATGCGGCGCTATGAATCAAATAGGAAGATCATTACAAAGATACACACTCACGATCTTACCGATGTATAACTTATAACAAAACATATGTTTTGATTGATCTCAATGTGCTTGGTAGCAACAAAATATGCCACGTGTTTCAAGTCTTCTTCATATACTATTTTTCTAAATAATAAATTATATATATGTAAAGTGTCATTCTAGGTTTTGGATATATTTCATAGATAAAGCAAAATAATTAAAAATAAATAAACCATAAGCATTTTATCTGAAGGACTCTTGCAAACCTGGTGTTCCTCTTTTTCATATCACACAAAAATGAATTTATCTATGTACCCAATGTAACAAATTTTAGACAAAAAAAAAAAAAAAGTGTCACCTAAAGAGATTTAAAGCATCATTCTAGCCGTTTCCTTTGCACGGGTCCTGTCTTGCCATCCTAGCTATTGTATCCCTATACTGGCAGAGTTATCCACTAGTTAGAATAGTCAGGATTTCAAAGTTATTTTGAGGGTAAAGTAGCTAAACTGGAATCAAAGCGGACTTGGAGATTTTTTCCCAATTTGGCTTTTGTGGCCCTAAAATTTAATTCTTGATGCCTATGGTTTTCAACGCTTGGAAAGCTTTGACTAACAGGCCTCCTACACTAAATAAGTTCCAAAATGTGTAGTCTGTGGGCAACGTTGACCACCTACTGCAGTTTTATTTATTTTTTTTTAATATTTTTTTTCTTTAAATAAAAGATTGTCATGCATTTTTGATGCTCACCTCATAACTACTTATGTTTATGTCAGTATATATATAAAAAATGTGCATTGTGTTCCCATGCCATACCAAATTGATGTTCATTATCATATTGTGTGTACAAGCTATTGGGGCATGGCAAATGCATATGTAACTGCTTATTCTTTATGCACTCAAAAATAAAGAATAAAAAAAAGATTAAAAAAAATTTAATTCTTGAAATTGGGTTCCAAGTTCTTGATAATACTCACTTTAGTGAATAACCTTGATAAGGTCTTGAGGAACTACACTGTGCCCTGGCCACACCAATGCATGTATGCAGCATTCCTCCAGGGCAAGCAGGCATCATAAAAAGTCCCCTACTCGCCAAACTGAATCCTTCCCAGAGGTCTGTGAATGAGCCCATTTTGCAGACAAATGCGGATTTGAGGGTACAATGTCAAACTATAAAAGTAGAAAAGTACTTCTTATGACAGCCTCCCAGGTTCCAATCAATGGATCCCTTTTTTTCAGCACGTCGCTAAGGATGCAATATCTCACATGTTGCTAGGATACAGCGCTCAATACAACCTAAAATAACAGTCTCCAGAGTTAAAGATAATATCACATTTAAAACGAAATAGAAACTGCTAAGAAACTCTAGAATCCTCTCTTTCCATGTATTTTTAAACAGGCTAGTGACGTGGAATTAATAATTGGGTGCCACAGGGTTGGAGTGTATAATAAAAGTGAGTGCGTGCTCATGAAATGGCAAGCTGCTATTATGAAGTGTGACACAAATTGAGATAAAATACACATGATTCTAAAAGAAACGTTGGGAGTTAGAGCTCGGCAGCCAAAATGATTTAATTCAAAT